ATCTACTACAACATATCTTAGGATTGAAAAGATTCAATCATTCTAAGATAAGGCTGCCATAAGAACCAATGGTATTCGATTTCGCAAATGGTGAATTGGTCAAAATTAATTCATGTTCGTTGAGAACATGCATACCATTTGCAGTGGGTTGTGGCGTAAGATGTAAAAGCAAAATTGTGGAGGAAAAAGTTGAATATTACTTCCATCAGACAAGGAGAACGAAAAAAAACTCAATTCGCACAAACAAGTGATGCACAGAGTGATTTTTGTGCTGGGAGGAGACCAGCTTTAATTTGAGATTCATTGCTTCTAAGAGCGTGAGAAAGTGATCTCTAAAAGCTGCACCGTACCGTGTCAGACAGACGAACATGTGGGTTGAACGTCGAACGAGAGAAGCAACAACACAGCTCGCGTGCAATTTTAGTGATGAAAATTTCCGATGTACTTAATAAAATATTTTGATATCCAAATATGGTTATAAAACCGGTTAATTTATGATTTTTTTTTTATTATGCTTGGCAAAATGAAAAAAAAATGAAATTATTTATTGCCGCACCACACATAATTTTATGGATCTTTTTGCTGATATTATTGTCGGCTGGGAAGTTAAATTTTTGATTATAACAGTGCAACATTTGAGTTTAAGATAGGTATAAGGTCAAGACAGCGTTTGTTGGTCTCTTGTCCTTTGTCAAAACCCAATACGGTAGTAACAATAAAAAGAAAAATGTGAGGTCCGTTGGGGTCCATAGGTTTTCTCATTATAGCTGAATTCAATTGCTTTTGATTGTTACCCAAAGTTTAAAGAATTTTTTTTTAAATGGGCATTTGTATTATACGTTTATGACAGTAAGAAGCAGAATTTAAAAATCTGCATTGACATTTTATTATATTTTTCCAGAGTTCATTTAACAAGTAAATTTCAATTTATCAATTTTGCTATTTTGAAATCAGCCCAATAAGGGAATTTTATCTTTAAAAAAAAAAAAAACACACATGTGCGGTGTGCAAGTTAAGCTTTTATGCAGATTCAACAATAATTTCTTACGTATTACACAAAGCCCTTTGCTTTTATATAAACTCATTTTCAGACAGACGATTCTGGGTGTGATTACCGACAGTAAACTGAACGTGCGTTCCAGTTTCTCTCTCAAGCGAGTTTTTTCTGGCATTTGCAACGAGAAGAACTAATTTCAATGCAGGCACGTCTTACTGGCACAAAAATTTCGCAACGCCCGGCCGTTCTATCAAAAGCTGATTTGAATTAGGTTGCAATTCATGTGCGCGATCTTGTGATGAGCGGGCGAGTGCGGTTCCTTTGCGTTTAGTAATTTTTTTAAGTGCAACGCGCAGACGGCATGCAAACGGCACTCATTAATTTACAGCTTGACGCTATACACTCTTGAAATGTTGAATTGGCGGCTTTTTTCATCTGCGTCAGAGAAGATCTGATTGGAACACAATAGCTATAGAAAATAATGCTCACTTTTTTGTCGGCTCATTTAACACTCTACTTAGCACGCAGCTTGCAAACAATATTGGTCGCTGCGTATGAATTGCTTCTCTTTTTATAGCTTTTTATTCTTGAATCTGCAGGAGAAAATTGAGATTGTATTATAACGTTTAATTTTTATTATTATTGATATATCATTAATTTTTTATGCTTGTGGTCCTTATCAGTGGCTAAAATTAAATGAATAGGTCGTTTTTGTAATTTTGCCAGCTAGCAAATTATGTGTTCCAATTTTCTTCCGCCGTATTGTAGATTGTATAAAATTCTATATAAAAATGATGATTATATAATTATGCATTAAATAACATTATGCGTGCTGTTGTTAATCACTTACTTGAAAACTGACTTTGATAAAAAAAAATTCAAACAATTTGAAAGCACATGATGTGTTTTAATTAATAGATTAAATTAAAAACTTTGTTGCTATTCTACAGCTTGAACCCATTGTTGCAATGGTATCAATTTTGCGTTTTGAAAAATATTGAATATTTAAAAATTTGCAGGTGAAGTTGAGAGAAAAGATAAGCATCTGGACTAATCGCGAGACACAATGTCATATTCAGATATAGCAATTGAGTGTAATGAGGTTAATTAAGAAGAGTACACTCCATTCAATTGATGCATGTCTTGGGACCGCGCAAGCGAGATAATTAAAAAGGCGCGCAGTTAGCATCCAGCAAATTGATTGCATTATAAAGCCTAATTGTTAGCAACGCATTGTGCCCTTCGCGATGTGACATAATCTGCGTGACATATTCGTTTCGCACGTATTGTTGCAAAAAGCAGGACACCTACTTAATTTGCAAAAGAAAATACATAAGCTTTAAAAGTCCGTCATTACTGACAATGAGATGAAATTGGAAAGGGAAAGTGCAAAGAGCAAAATGCGCAAACATGTTTTGTGCGAATTGGTGCTGATCAGTGTTTGCAGAAGAGAAGAGGTGCCAGGTCGTGTCATCAAAGAGTAGCCTTGGCACCATGCGTGTCTAAAAAACTAAAATTGAAAGAGAAGGTCGTATTATGTCTAGTAGAGTAGAGATGAACTTTCTCACCCCTATAATTACAAAAATTATAAAAAAAACTGAAATGGCAAATTGGCAATAATATGAAACAAAATTAAGAGTTGCAATCTTGATTTAAACAAATGATTTTTTGGGGGGTCAAGACAGCATAATATGTTGGTCTCTGTAATTTTTCAAAATCCAATTTTATTTATTTTTTTTATTTCATATTGCTAAGTTAAATTGAAAAAGTTTTGAATTCGATGGAGTTGAAAATAAAACGAATAACTCCTGTATATTATATTAATGTTGTCTTTTCTTTCCCTGCTTTTAACGCGTTGGTCATATTTTGAAATTTTTTTATTTACCCTCTCTTAATGCCGGTGTGTGAATAAAAAATAAGCAAAGTCATTAATTTATCATGTCAGTCTTCTCTCGCGGGCCTGTTATACAATATAAAAGGAAATTCCCTAATGATGTTGCCACGTGAAAATAATTGCATCTCCGCGGTAGCTTGGTAATTCGTGTCATCCACGACGCACGCTGAGAGAAAGAGATAATGAGCTGCATTTTCTTCCGAGACCTTCAGTTCGCACCTCTGAAAAGCGTGCAGGAGCTCTTCCGTTTTTACACCATCAGCGACGGCAGTTTCCCCAAATTACAATCATGTTTAGCAGCGTCGGCGTCGGCGTGCATAATCATTCTAGGACCCGTCGCTGCTCTCATCGCACACACTTTTACTACCTCTTTCAAATGCAAATTTTTGCACGATTGCCAAACCGCCTGCTGCCTTGTTCGAGCAAAAATATAGCATTTTTCTCTTGTAACGTCATTCACTGTCAGCACGGCATAACTTGAAAAATGATTAATTCGTTTCTGCAGATATTTTTTACTTAAACCTCTATAATATGTATAACATAATATTGTACTTGTTAAATATGAGGAAATATAATTGAAATCAGCAATTTGTTCTGCGTATCCCTCTATAACGCTCTATATTATTGCCAAAATTATGAAGATATGAAAAGTTTTATCGGCATTACATTATTATTCATTTCATTTAAAATTATAGCTTAAAGTGAATTAAAAATTATATCTTCTCCAGAAAAAAATATGATTAATATGTTCCATATCAGTTTCTTACTATGGAAATGCTAGTTAGTAAAAATATTTTTTAATAATATATTTTTCACTCTACAATTAGTAAAAAAAAAAACTTGTTTGCACACCAGTGATTAAGCATTGAGGTAAATATGTCACAATGATCAGTACGTATGCATTAATCGCCATTCACGTATGCAGTAAATTAATTTTAATTTAAAAAGGACTGCTGACCACTACTGATGGGCAAAGGTCATTCGCTTTCTCTGATGAAAGATCTTCACCTGTTGGAGAATTATTAAAAGGTGTATGCAGAGAAAGCCGGCAAAATGATCAAGAGACTTAACGCACATTCTACTAGTAATCTCGACTTTTTTATACCATTCGGCAAACAATCATGTGGTCGCTTCAGATGAGAAATTTTAATGACTCGTCATCGTCTGCTTCTTAAATGCTTCTCGTGTAATTGACTGTGCAAGAAAACCAATCACTATATTATGCAACTGGTAAAGCATTTCAGATTTGCCGGTTGCATAATTTACAGTATGTACATACTGTATTTCGTTTCCTGAAGATGTAGACTTTTCGTGAAAGTCTTATGTTCAGGTTATAGCTTTTTTTTATCTTTGTACAATTTCGTTCTTTTGGTAAGAGCAACCGGCTTAGTTGGATCTTTCAGGGTAAGCATTGAATCAATGATGTGTACGATGTGCATAATGTTTAATGAGATTTTTTTTTAGCTTTTTGGTTCAGACTTCAGAGTGTTTTTTGAGCGAATGAAAAATAATTAAAATTTACGCTTCTATTTTTTTTTTTTATTTAAAGCTTATTTAAAAATGTGATATTATTTTATTTGGAAAATTAAAAGCAATTAAAATGCTATTTACATAGAGAGTAATTTTCTTTTTTCATCAAAAGTAGATCCTGTTTTATAAAATTAATAACAGTCAAGAATCAAGCTGATGTACCTTAAATTAGACTAAGATTACTTTTGAAAATTCAATTAAAATCAAATTTTTAATTTTTGTTTGTAAATTCTTCACCAGGGCAACAATCTGAAATTCCCTTATTAAGTGAGTATAAAAAGTGTAAAATGACAAAAAAAAAATGCTAGACTTCTCCTATTGTTAGTCAAATAACACAACTTGATGGAATTTAATTATTTGTGACTTTTGCAAAAGTCTTATCATTATGTCTAACTTTAATCCTTTGCCATTTTGGCAAGCTTTCCTCTTTGCGATACTTTGGAGATAATTATAAGATTATTTTTTTAGTTTATGGATAACTTTGGTTGATATTGTTTGTCATGCAGAATATATTCTAAGGAAAATTAGAAGATTTCCTCAACACAAATATTTTTACCTGCCAAATATTGTATAAACTGGTTTGAAGTGTACAAATTACAAGTTTATTTATAAATAACAAATGTTTCAAAGCGGATTTACAGTAGACCAGGTGTTTTGAGTCTATCCAAGAATTTCCAATTTTGCCCTAGCTTTATAAAAGCTAGGGTTACCCAAGGATTAATTTGAAGACTATTGTCAGTATGTTGAGGAAAATCAGAGGAACTGTAAAAAATTTCATCCAATTAGAGTCATCGATTTATTAACAAAATATAATCAGTCTTACTTCTCATGACAGTTCGAATGGACCTAATCAAATTGAGCACTTGCGATTTCACCGAGGGTTGCTCTCCAAATCCGTGCACCTGATTTGCACCCCAGCCAACTGTAAAATTTGTCATATTTTCATGATAAACGTAATATTTTATTTCCTGATTTTTATCTCTGATTTTGTATGGTTCATTAGTCTATTTAATGACTAATAAGTGTCCGTGCGTTTACCTTTGGCCAGAAATCGCTCCTCGTGTAAAACGCAAACAGCATTCAGGCACAACAGTGATGCCTCAAATAAAGTCCAAAGAGTGAAAGCCATTTTAACTTAGTGGAAATAAACACCTCGACCTTCCGGTGTCAGACTGAGGGCAAATAGCGTAGAATGCAAACAATCAAATCTGATCAAAAACGAGGAAAATAAAAACAAATGATGTTCACGTATGTCCGCAATTGTTTACTTTACATACGGAAGAGGGCGTGGACCGTGGAGAGCTGGCAACGTGGGCGCGACCGGCGGCTCTGACGTCATATATGTAATTGCTTAACCGGTTTGTATTCAGATGATAACACCAATAATTTAGCCAAATTCTTTATTTAAATAATCACATAATTCACAGAGGGATTTGAACATATTCAAAATTAGTTTTTCATAGCATTCAATGCATATTCAAAATTTAATTAAGAATTTTTTGCAAATAATCTGAAGTCTATGATTTTGAAAATTTTACCGGTACGCACTTAAAAAACCGATAAAAAAAGAATCCGAGAACAATAACAATCGTCGTTTGTTAGCTGTTGCTTTCAAGAGTTTCAAGTACGCTTTGCTTCTTGCTGAGAATTCTTTGACGCAGGACGTGACCGCGTAAAGTAAACAAACTAAGCTGGGCATTGTCAAAGTTCACCGGGTTGGAGGTCAGATTTCGAGTAAGTGGAGCGTGTTTTGTAATTTCGGTTAGTTAGAGAAGAACTTTCAGAATGGATCGGCGCACGAAATGCGGTAAATCAACGCCTTTTGTCGTTTCCGTTTTGGATTCGCTTTTCCTACTTCCTTGCACGGCGACGTGGTTCATGGTTCAAATGATGCCTCATTATTTTTTCTGTTTTAATCAAATTTTCTTGCATGTTAATACCATATTTTCCACCTCTATTCAATTAATTGCACTCGAATTTTGAAAATTCTTCTGGAAAGTTCGTTTAGAATTTATTTGCACATGAAATTTAAAAAATTCTTATACATGCGTCATTGTTAACGCCCAAAAGCAAGATTTTTTTGTTTCGTTCGGCGTTTTGACCTTGGGTGTTGTTTTACATGTTTTGCATTTTTGACTCGCAAATTCCTAACCTGTTTTTCTTTCACGTTTAATATTTGAAATTTAAAAAAAATCTTCCAAATGACCGTTATTTCCTTGGTCTGATACATTGGCCGGCAGATTCTTGCTAGGTACTATTATAATCTATAAGATTGTAAAATTCCATGCCATTGCTATAAAAATATGAAAAATATACCTCGCCCAAAACATTGCTGTTGATGACTGTATGATAAAGTATTACATAAACATACATAATTTGTTTTGGCGCGGGGCCCATTTCTCTGGAAATTATTGTGTACAATATTCAAGCTATTGGAAATCTAATATCATATATTTAACTCAAACTCATTTTCTAGAAACGTAAAAATAATAAGTATTGTGTCACAGAAAGGTCGGGTTAACTGACTGCTATCACTTTACCACTGGTGCCTTTCCCAAGAGGGATAGATAATTTTAAAAAACCTAGAGATCATTCATCTTTTCCAGCTTTATTCTTCATTTATTACAAAATCTAGTAATATGATATAATACATTATTTAATGATGTTTAGTCGATATTTTATTCCCAAGTATCTCAATTAGGGCTTTTTTTTACAATGACTGAAAATTAAATTTCGGCCATGTCTTTGTTTTTAAAGTATTTTAAGTATCGTGTTAGGTCACAAGCTATAACGTTTATCGATGTTATTTTTTAGAAGACTTAAATTTAGACCTTAGACTTAGTTAGTGGGACTTTGTATCTCTGGTATCTCTATGTAATAAGACATAAGACATTATTAAAATAAGACTTTTTGAAAAGTCTTACTGTGACTTTTTATATAGACCAGGAATTCCAGACTTGGTTCACAGTTATAGAAGTTATAGCAACATAGGACAACTTGTAAGCTTAAAACTTGTCAGAAAATCACTAATTCAACCCTTAATTGTTTTTGTGACAGGCTAAATCATGCATTACACATAGCTCTCTTGCATGTGAGTAACTATCAAACTATGTATATTATATTATGTTTACTCAATCTTTATCAAAAATTTCAGCGTCTCTGTATTTTTATCTTTATTTATATTACAAATTTAACTTAGCAAGGTTTAGTTAAAAACATTTCATTTTCCAGACCTGAAACGTGAAATTTTTTAAGCATAACAATAGTGTATAAGAATATCTAAATATACCGTTCTGCACTGATTTTTGTGGTAAGTTTTTACTAGTTTTTTTTTATATGTATATAATTTAAACTGCGTATTTGTGGGTTTTTTTTTGAAAATTTATTTGGTAAATCTGTAAATCAATTTTTTTTTTTCATTAGTTCAACTATGATTGACCACTTGTTTGCTATCTAATGATAATGCAGCACTGTCAGTGGGAAATGTTGTGTGTTTAGTTTCCAAGGAAATAATCTCACCCGCCTCTGGCAGGGCATTGTTATGTAGAATACTAAAGTAGATAAATTCTGAACATTCACTGCATGTTCGATTCGCGCTAGGCATTTTGTGGTATGTTATAAGTATATCATTGTGAAAATTTGTTTGACTTTTTGAATTCCAAAGTCTACATTTCTTACTGCACTAAAATTCAAGAACATTCTTCACAATCTTATCATTTTATTATCGCTGGAAGTTGCAGTAAAAAACGTAAAAACCACAGTAGACTTTTTTTAAGAAAAGTCTTGCGCTTTTTCAAACGTTTTAAAGTTGAGTGAAATCATTTTTCTTTTTAAGCTCCCCTTAAAATGTTATCTGAAGAAGTTTTAGACAGGTTATTGATCACAGGCTATCTTAAAAACCAGCCTTTTGCAAATAAAATGACTTTTCTTACTCAATGTTAGTTCATAGATTAGATTTTTTTAGTCAACTTTCAATCTTGCCAAATATACTGATTGACACATGTAGGTTCATTTTCTGACTAACGCCCTAAATTAAGTGTGATGATTCGAGCCCACATAACTAGTGATTTGGCTGATTAAAGATGGCAGTCATCTACATTTTTCCAAGCTTATTGCATTTTGTTAAAAGTATTTAAAAAAAATATTCCTTATCAGCTGCCAACACCTACAACTGAAGTTAAAAATCAAACAATGTAATTCATAGCTAACTATTAGCTACATGAATTGCAGTAAAATTTTAAATGCATAGTTTTATAATTTTTTTTCTTCTAAAGGTTATTACATGCGTAGAGCTACGTTACTTTTTTCGATAAAATTAACTTGCCATTGATTTTTAGATAATGATCCGGTGTTTTTCATTGCGTATTACATAAATCTTTTTGGAGATTTGTCTTCTTATTCTGTTTTAAGCTGGTATTGATAATATCCATCCCTCACAAATCATACAAAGTTTATCTTATCGTAGATCAAACAAACATTGAGTGCTCACGTGACTGTTTGGCTTAAATTTTTCATTACTGAACAAGATATTCGTCTGTGTTGCAGTTTTCCTGCTAATCTTGGCGATTTCGTTGGCCATGGCTTCATCACCTTTAGACGCAGTTGCTAAAGGCAATGCTGATTTCAGCCGAGACTTCTTTAAGGTAAAAATTTTTTTTTTATTATCACTTGTTGTGTTCAATTAAATTTTCTGTTCTTATTACTGTTATCATAATGCGTGCATTTAAAAATTTTATTTCATGTTTATAGGAAGTGGCTCTTTCCAATCAGGGAAATATCATCTCTTCCCCGTTCAGCTTGCTGGCGGCCCTCGCTATGGTCCACACTGGAGCTAAGGGCAAATCCAACTCGTTGATTGCCCAGGGCCTACACCTGCCCGAGAAAAAGGAGGATGCTCTTGAAGGACTTCGTCAGTTGATGGAAAAGCTGAGGGTGGGTTTAAAAATATTGAAGCAATCCATTTAAATAAAAAATCTTAAAATAGAATGTTGAGAAAGTGGAGTTGTCCATCGCCAACAAGATCTTTGTGAAGGCTGGTTTCGATCTTGTTCCTGATTACATTTCCGCCTTGGAGAAAACTTTCAACGTTACTGCTGAAAATGTCAATTTCTTGGAAGCAGCTGCAGCTAGCACCATTAACGATTGGGTCAAGGTGCAGACCAAGGAAAAGATCCAGAACATTGTGAAGAGCAGTAAGCCTAATTTTTGCTTATTTTCAAAATGTCTATGAATTTAGTGACATGAAATAAGAAAGCGTGAAATTAACCCGGAAAAACTAATTGTAAGACATTTTAATTTTAAGGTGATTTTGACTCTCTGACCCGCATGGTCTTGGTCAACGCCATTTACTTCAAGGGCCCATGGCTGAAGCCCTTCATAAAATCAAGCACACAAGATCGTCCTTTCTACTCTGATGAGACCAACAGCATTGAAGTTCCGTTCATGTACCAGAAGAGCTACTTCGAATATGCCAAGCTTGATGACTTGGAAGCTCAGCTGCTGATTTTGCCTTACACAGTTATTTAATTTTGCATGTTGATTTATTGAAAATAATTAAAACTTTCATACAGGGCAAGGAACTGAGCATGGCTATTATCTTGCCTGACAAGAGGACTGGCCTGCCAGAGCTGGAGAAAAAGCTGGCCACTGCTGACCTAGGTGAAATCCTGCAGAAGGCCCACAACAAGGAGGTGGAAGTCTATCTGCCCAAGTTCAAGATTGAAACCACTCTGGATCTTCAAGGTGTCTTGTCCAAAGTAAGAAATTTATTGTCTTGGTGTAATTTGTATTAGACTGAAAATTTTATAGATGGGATTGGGACACATGTTCACCAATGATGCTGACTTGTCTGGTATCAGCGAGTCTGAGCCCCTGCAAGTTTCAAAAGTTTTGCAGAAGGCATTCATTGAGGTGTCTGAGGAGGGGACAGAAGCGGCTGCTGCTACAGGTAGATACAAGCATATGTTACCTTTTACAAGTAGCTTGCCTTTTGCTTTTGCTTTAACATTTTTATTAGCACAGTTGATAGAACAGCACTTCATTTATTTGAGAATATTGCAACCATTTATATTATGCATACTATCAACCAGTTTTAAGCTTATACTTTATACGTAATCAAAAAAATTGTATTACATTGTATTTGTCTTGTTCAGTGGTCGCCATAATGGCAATGTCCGCCTGTTTGCCAACAAGACAGTTGATTGTTCTATGCGATCACCCGTTTATCTTCTTCCTCACTCAAAATCGGTCCACTATTCTATTTGAGGGAAGACTTTCGAATCCGGTTTAATCTTGCGCGTAAGTCATTTATGACATTTTGAACCATCAAACAGTCATACTGAGAAGATTTCCAAATTTTTTAGGTGTTTTCATAAGTGAGATGAAATGCACATTTGTCAGAACATCATTTTTGCTGATCGTCCAATAATCTTCTATCTAATCACACAATATTCACCAGCATTTTTTGTATCTATGCTTAAAGCTATTATTGTATCAGCTGCATTTATTCCTCAAGTGAGAGCTTTTAATAAATAATAAACAAAAGATTCTGATGTGCTGTTTAAAATGGTTGCAATATACTTTTATTACATATCATACCACCAATCATTAGAAGAAAAAAATCTAATGGCGGTGATCTTGGATTGACGTAGAGTCAGTTTTGAGTTGCCGCTCAGTGTGCACCCAATTTTTGGCCGAGCACCCTTTCCTTATAACACTGATTCACCACGAACCCAGAGTTACGCTTTTTGGTGGCAGAGTTGCTGTGCCAATTTACTAATCAGCTTTTTAAGTGAGTTCCTTTGTATTTTTTTTTCTTGTCTTTTTTATTGTTGTTTTAAGTCCTTATTCATTATTCCTGTCAATATTTTCTGAACACGCGTTTGTGCGTATGGTCTGTATGTTGCTCTAAAACTATCAAATTTATAAATTGTGGTCAATTGTGGTTAAAAAGAATTTACTCGGAATTCATAATTGAGTAGTAAATTCTGGGTTTTAAAGCAAATACCACTGTTTCACACTACTTTCTTAATCACTAATAGCATGTAGCATGACACTTTCCATAGTGTAATAATTTTAGTGGCGAATAGAAACCACTACTAAAGTGGTGTTCAATGATTTTGTCCAGTTGCAGTCGTGAGAATGAGGCGGTGTGCTCCCAATTTAGAGGATTTGATGATTTTTGATGCGGACCATCCTTTCATCATCAATTTAATCCTCAACAATGAACATTCTCCAGTGCCGCTGTTTTCCGGTCGCATTTCACACATTCATTCAGCTGAAAGAGCCAGAGACGAACTATAATTTTATTTAATATGGCAAACTTGCTTAATTTTTAAATGTAGTCTGAGCCCTTTGCTAATAATTATCGCAAAAGAATACTAACATGCATTGCATTTATTTACATTGGTGGGTATACGCGTATACGTTTTGGCGCCGCTCTGGCATTCCCAAAAGAAAGAATCTTATTTTTGCCAATCGTGCCTTCCACTTCAACTTTATTTTTTAAGTCTCGTTGCGGAATTGAACTACAGCGCCTCTTTTTCTTGGACATCTTAGTCAGTTGAGCTTCAATGTGCACAATCTAAATCTTTAGACTAAGACTTAGTTCTAACAAGGCTTAACCTGAAAAAAAATTAAATTTCAATTAATTGCTTTCATTTGCAATTAAAATGGTGTGCTGTATTGTTAAAATTATTCTCTGCTAAAAAAATTTGCATTTGAAAATTCAGGACTTAAAATTCCTCGCCTAATAGTTAGTTGGAAATATTGAGTGGTAGCTACAGACTTTTAACTAACTTCCCTTGTTTCTGTGCAGCGTTAAAATTTTTAAAAGGATGTGCGAAGCCACCCCCTCGCAGGAGACCAATCATTTTCAAAGCTGACCACCCTTTCATCTTCAATCTGATCCAAACAAGCAAGAAATGCAGGCAATATCCAATGACCCTTTTTTCGGGTCACCTTTTAAAGATGCTGAAAGCTAGCAATGCCAAGAAAGCTAAATATGAGCGTTGAGCGTTCTTGATTTTTATTGTCAATGTATTGATTTCAAGCATGGACTCTGTTATTTTGAACATAGCGCTCAATGAAAATAATTTTGAAAAATAAATAGAATTGACTCTGTGAACAATAATTAAAAGTTAATCCAGTTCATTTGTTTTCAATGGTTCAGCAGAAGTTGCACTCCAAATTTCATTCAGATCGGAGTGTTTTTTTTTCTCAAACATCAACTTGTTAGAGGTGGTACCGGGTAAGGGATGAAAATATTTTAGGAGGGCTCACCTTGTCATAGAAGACCTATTATTTTCAAAGCTGAGCACCCCTTAAGTTAAATTTGATGCTAACTAACGAGAAAATCAGGGCAATATCCAATGACGGTTGTAGAGCTACTGAAAGTTGCAAAGCCAAAAGCATTGACAGCTCGAAATTTTCATGACAGGATGACTGCCTTAAAAATGCAAAAAGAACATATTTCAAATCCAAACTTTGTATATTGTACATAACAACGCAGCTATGAAAATAACTTTTTAAGAAAGAAACTAGATATGAAAACAAGAAACTCAAGATTAAAGGGCCCTTTTTTCCTCTCACCTTTCAAACGGCTGAAAGAACAAGAGATAAATTTTAATTAATTGAATTGAGAAGTTAAACATTTGGAAGATTTCAAGCCATATCGATAATTTTCTTGCAAAACTGAGTATATATTTTTTCCATAAAAATAATGTATTCATTGAATGATTTGCTAAGAATATTAAAACAACTAGTTTTCTAATGATGAAAATAAAGTTTAGCTAACTATCACACATGGTGTCAATGAAATACAATTTGGCTGATGTAATAGAAATAATTTTGGAAAAGAGATGGAGTTAGAAAAAAATTTAATCCTCCCCTCAAAGCTCCACAGTCTCTTTTTCTTGGACGCGTTAATCAATTGTACTTAAATTAAATTACGGGATTCGGTTCAAAAGGCTTTACCTGATTTTAAGATTTATTTCCATTCAAAGCTGAATTTGCTGATTTGATATTTTTAGAGTTTCAAACATAAAAAAAGAACTCAAAAAATGCTCTCTTCCCAATATCTCGCTCTAGGTTAAAAAAATCCTACATGCACCTCTTGGTGCGATGGAAAATAAAAATATTATCTCGAAAAGTTCAATGAAAATAATTATTGGCTTGGTTTATAGGATATTTTTTGAATACTATGAACACTCTTTTTGTGGTGTGCTGTGCGTGGTTAGGTGAAATGGATAGTTTAAAAAGTGACGTTAATTTAGGTTTTGGGGTTTGGCTATTAGGGCTAGAGGCTGCTCCAACTTGGTGTCCACCTGATCGCAGCAGGACAATTATTTTTGAAGCTGACCATCCTTACAACTTCAATTTGATCTATACAAACAAGAAATGTGCGCAATCTCCACTAACGCCTATTCTTGGGTCGCTTATCGCAGCTGCCAAAAGTATCGGAAGCTAAAAATAAGAAGAGAGTAAAAAATGCGCGTTGATTTTTATGTAAATTCCCCTCGTCAAAATGCACTGATTTAGATTTGTTACTTGATTGAATCTTGCTATAGAAAGCCTAGGTAATTCAAACTTTTAGTGGGTATACTGAATAAATTTGTGCCTTCAAGTTAAATGTAAGCAATTAAGCACGATAAAATTATTACAAGTTAAAGATAGACTTATTACTGCAAAAGCGTTGTACTACATTAAAAATTTTCACCTTAAAACTTATGAATTTTCTCTGTGGAAAAATTCTTAAATGTGCATTTAGCTGATTCCAAAGAAATATTATTTCTAATTTTTGGTCAACAGGGATGATGTTAATTTGTGGCGCTGCCCCTAGCCCGCCTCGTCCTAGACCTATTATTTTTGAAGCTGACCACCCTTTCATCTTCAGCTTGTTCTTTAAGAACAAAACACAAGAAATCTCCAGTGGCCCTATTTTTTGGTCGCTTATTGCAGCTGCCGAAAGGTAGCAAAACCAAGATAAGCAAGACAGCTAAATTTTAATATCATCGTTAAATTTTTTTAATGCTGGATTCCTATTCGCGCAATGATTTGATCTTTTTTCTATTGAATCTCATTATGAAAAGCCCAGCTTTGGTGGGAAAACTGAAATTGATTCACGAAGTTATAAAGTAAAAGCATTTTCATATAGTAAAATTATTACAAGATATATATAGATTTTTTTACTGCTAAAGCGTCGTGCCAAATTCAAAATTCTCACTTTAAAACTTTAAAAATTTCTATGAAAGAATAGCTGCGCAGGTCAATTTAAATATATATACTAATTATACACACACATTATATATCATAGTGGTAAGAGCGCGCTAGAGCAATTTTACAAAAAGCGCGTGCGCTCTTTTGCGCTCTTCGTTTTTCGCCGCAGCAATAATTTTTGAATTAAATTTAAAAATTCCAACGAATTTTCCACTTCTTTCCAGGTGAATTATTAATTTTTTATTTAATTTATTTTAACATCCTCTATTTTTATATATTTAGGTCCTGCTCAGTCCTCTCACTCTCTTCAAAAAGAGAGAAAAATAGGTTATTTTTTAAGACTTAAGGTGGTCCTAGTTGCATAGTCTTAATACTAAATGTAATGCTCATTGTCTGATTATTATCACTATATTATGTAATTTAATTAAATTCTTTAATGTTTGAATTGGGCTTCTAGATAAAAGCAAGTATAAAACTTATAAAAATATATATTACTTAATTTTTTTTTTACTAAATTGAATGAAAATTTTGTGTTCTGAATGAGGAAAATTTTAAATAAAGAGGGCAGAGCGCGGGCTCAAATTTTTCAATTGAACGCGAGCGCAGTGTTCTTATGACTCGGAGAGCGCGATCGCAAGCATAGGCAGTGAGCGCGAGCCCACTATGAATATATTAATTATATTATGTATGACACTTAGGTCACTATTTTACAAGTTTGTTGGTTCTTACACCCATTTAGCTGAAAGCTAATTCTAAAGTGGCGGTATTTCTTGTTTTTGGTCAGCAGGGTTGAGAAAAGCTGGCGCTGCCCTACGCCCGTCTCGTCCCAGACCCATTGTTTTTGAGGCTGATCACCCTTTCATCTTCAGCTTGTTCTCCGAGAGCAATACACACAAGAAATATCCAGTGGCCCTATTTTTTAGTCGCTTATTGCAGCTGCCGAAAGCTAGCAAAACCAAGAGAGCTAAATATCAGCATTAATTTTGCTCAGTTTTGATGTCTTGTCAGAACTGGATTGATCTTATAACACCTTGCTTCATTAAATTTTCTTATTAATTGGATCCGTAGACCAAAAACTCCCAATTATATGTAGTTAAAAAGCTGGACATGATCATAGAAAACCACTAATCTTTTCATTTTGTAGATCAGTCTGAAAATAGAATACGTTTTGGAAAATGATGTTTCTCTCTTAGAAATGGAAAGCTTGAGATTTTTAATTTAAAAATTTATCTTGATGTAAGCCTTGCATGCAGCACAATGCTTAAACCGTTTCATTTATTTCGTGATTTTATTCAGTGAAAAGAATGAGGCCTATGGCAAGGCCACCAAATCCTGCATTGAAGATTTTTGAAGCTGACCACCCCTTCATCTTCAGTTTGCTATCTGAGAGCCAGAAATCTCCTCCAGTGGCCCTATTTTTTGGTCGCTTATTGCAGCTGCCAGAAGCTAGCAAAACTGAGAAAAGCAAGAGAGCTAAATATCAGCGTTAATATATTATAGATTTCAATTTTGATGAAGTCTCTCTCATCTCATTGTCAGAAATGGATAGACCGTATTACAAAATTTTTCAATTATAGTTCAGAGGCTGATCATGATCAATCATGATTATTGAAAACAATAAAATATAAGCAAATGAGAATCTCCATTTTGAGTATGGTTAAACAAATAAACCATTTCCTTAAGTTTTCTTCATATAGTTAATTAAGGTGATAAAGGGGGCAGCACATCGTTGGAAAGTTGACGAATTGAAGATTTTTGACCATCCTTTTCCCTTTGCTTTGATTTATGAATATGAAACATACTCTGTCACATTGTTTGTTTGCCACCTAATGCAGCCAGACACAACAATGGGGAACAGCAAATATTTACAGTCTGGAGTGTGCGTCATAATATTGCGTCTATTATTTTGAATCTAAAAAGTTCGACCGTCAGTTATCAGTTAACGCACGTATCAGTTTAGACTGTTTTATATTAGCCTCTGGTTTAGGGCATTGTAGGCTAAAAAAGACTGAATTAATAATGTTCATTAACTTCATTTGTTCAATGATGGCACTATTGGCACTGTCACTAGCTGCGAACATTTTTTTTTTTATTATTTGTTCCTATTTTTCAGCTGCTTACGTTTGTCCGACTTAACTATTTTTGCATGTGCACTGCTTTCCGACACTTTGTGGTGTAGTTCATGTGGTTATCTTCTAATTGCTCGCAGACTAAAAGAATGCATTGGCATTAATTTACAGCTGTAATTGTTGCCACTCGGATGATGGCTATTCATCCACCTCCTAAATTCTTGGCTGAACACCCATTCTACTTTGCACTTGTTCAGCAAAATCCTCAGAATAGCCTGTTCACCGGCAGATTAGTTCAGCCATAAGCTCGTCGCAAAGTGTCGAGGCTGTTCAATTTCCTCTTAGCCTGTTTATTCATTTTCTTAATGCTATGTAAAAAGAATACTCTTGGTGTATCATAATCTTCATAGTGCAGACTGCAGAGCATTTTTGCAATTAATTGCAATAATCTTATTCAAATTTGAACTTATTTTATCATCTCTAATTTTTTTTCCAGTTGTTTGTGTAGTTAAAGGCATTCGCCGCACAACCCGCATCAATGTCTCTCATCCATTTATATATTATTTGATGTACCGCTCCAATCGCAACGGTCCCTATGTTACTCTATTTTCGGGCCATGTCGTCAAACTGAAAGAAACAAATTGAGAAAATTTAATTCACCATTTAAGCTAGGGCATACTGCAGAGAATTTTAATAAAATTAAAATCTAGCTTGTTTAAATTGTAACTTAATTTTTCTTTTCTAATTTTTTTTTCAGCTGTATTTACCGACAGCATTTGCCGCACAACCTGCATCAATTGCTCGCATCCATTTTTATATTCTTTGATGTATCGCTCCAACAAAAACGAGTATGTTACGTTATTTTCGGGTCATATCATCAAACTGGAAAAGAAAATAGAAAATTGAAGTCACCTTTAAAGCTGGAGCCTCTTCTTGACTTAAAGAAAAGTTTAACTGGAAGAAGATTCATATTTGGATTTAATTCATTTGCAAAGAAAATTTATTTTAATTTTTTGTTCTGGAAGTATAAAAAGAAACTAATAAAATTAATTTGAAAAGATTAGTTGCAAATTCATTGTAACAAAATATTTTTTTCATATTGTATCTCTTCAAACAATAAAGGCCCAACTTAAAAGTTGAACGTTTTTTTTTTAATTCTATTATAACAACCAAGCATGTCCGTTTTCTAAAACAATAAAAACAAATATAATCTTTTAAAGATTATTTTTAATTAAAGTCAGCACTTTAAAGAGCTAAAAGGTTATGAATTGCCAGAGTATTTTTTGGTTATTAATGTCATAAAGTAAGGACAAAAATACTTGTATTTTTTCAGCCGTATTAATTGTGAAAAAAAATGCCAGTTGTTTGCTTAAATATGGTCATGGACCATCCATTTCTGTTCTACCTTGGAAATTTCAAAGATAAATCTGCCACTCCTATATTTTTTGGCAAGCTTTATAACTTCAGTTTCTAACCGCTAAATATAAGATTATTTTTCACTAAATATGTTAATGCTTCAATATTATATCCAAATATGTTTAAATTGTATTCAATAAAAAGGATGTAACTATATTTACATTTAAAAACATGCTATGCTAATTTAAGATTCCTCAAATTATCCTATCATTAATTTTTTTCTGTGGGCAGTTCAAAAGAAGCAAAACAAGTTTTATATAATAGTGGAAATTCCCAAAGTATAAATGCCCTAAAAGTATTCTCACGTATAAATATTAAGTGCCGTTCTTTTTCTCGTTCTGCATTCACCCAGGCGTATAGAGTCGCCGCTCGTTGCACAAAATCAGATCAAAAATTGTTCTTCAAAGCCACTTTCCCTTGCGCAAAACCTGCTGCCGCTGGACGCCCACATGCGAACCTCTCGTCTCAAGGAACTACAAAACTACTGAGCTCATATACATATAAAAAGAAAAACTAAACTCACACTTGTTGCTCGCATATATCTCTTGGTATTATAAGTATACGAAAGCTAGGTGGCCTTGGGTGGTGACCACGTCGCGGGACCCGATATTTATTTGACTTGTCTCTCGGCGGCAGTTGCTTTCCAGGGACCAACATGAGAGGACTCGCAGGTGAGAGCTCTGCAAGAACCGCTATATTATGTTTCTCGAGTTGCTAATTAATTGCATTTTAACTTTCCCAGCGATATTAGTTTCTGGTGCCCTGCTGGCAACCACGGCTCTTGCCAACGATTTTCCGAAAGTCACTGCCGGCAGTCAAAATTTTGGACGGGACCTTTATCAAGTATATTTCCCAGAATATTTTAATAGTCTAAATTTTGGAAGGTGTCTGTATTCTAAAAAAAAATCTAATTATTAGCAATTTTCCTCGGCTCAACGCAATGTGGTGATTTCACCCTTGAGCGCCTACCTGGCGCTTGCCGTGACCCGCCTTGGCACCAAAGGCCGAACCCAGCAGGAGCTCAACCAGGTACTCGGCCTTGACCTCAACAATCTGCACGAGCAGGAGTTCATCAGCTTGCAGCGAAATTTTGCCGTGAGTTTTTTAAACGCGAAAACTAGTTTGAGCTGGCACCTTTTGACCTTTTTTCTTCATTAATTATGCGCCCGTAGACCCCGAAAGACTCCAGCAAAGTGGTTGTTGCGAATAAGGTATTCCTGAACAACAAATTCCAAATCCAGCCCAAGTTTGTCGAGGACGCCAGGAACGTCTTCCACACAACTGCTGACACACTCGACTTCAGCAGTCCTCGCACTGCAAACGAAATCATGAACAACTGGGTCAAAAATATCACCAGGAATAAGATCACAAGCATCATGGACAGAGGCAAAAAATAATATTTTTTTCTTCATTTTTTATGCATAAATTTTATTTTAGATACTGTAAATGATGATACAAAAGTGGTGGTCGTCAACGTCATGTACTTCCGAGGCCCTTGGAATTACAAATTTTACAGCCCTTCAGAGCCAAGACCTTTTTATTTGGACGAAACAAACACTGTCAGTGCACAATTTATGTCCAAAGAGGATTATTACGGATTTGTCGATTTGAAGGGTCTTGACGCTCAACTCATTGAACTCCCATACAGGGTGCGTCAGACTAGTTTTATTTATTTGGTGACTTTTTTTAATCTGCAATATTTCAGGATAATGATTATAGCTTCGTCATAATATCTCCCAAGTCTAGAATCGGACTGTCCTTGCTCGAAAGCAGAATTTCTGGTTTGAACGTCGCCGATTTGGTTTCTAAAGTTGCCCAAGTGGAAATCACCCTGCACCTGCCTAAATTCCAAATTGACACAAGCATGAGCTTGAATCAACCGCTTTCAAACGTAAAAAAATAAAGATTTTCAAAAATTTTATCTTATTTAAATTTTAAACAGATGGGAATTAAGAGCATTTTCTCAGACAACGCAGATTTGACAGGTCTTTCAGCCGGAGAAAGACTGAAGGTGTCCGAAGTTTTCCAGAAAAACTATTTTGAGATTAACGAAAATGGAACGGAAGCTGCCGCCTCAACCAGTAATATATAAAAAATCTTAATAACAAATTTTAACGTTTTTTTAATTTTTCACAGGTATTCGCGTCATCGCCATTTCAGCAAAATTGACTGAAACATCATCACCTTAGATCATCCTTTCCTCTTTTACCTGATGCACAAGAGGAGTCTCACCCTCTTCCAGGGTAAACTTTTGGATCCAAGATATTAAAAAATTGTAAAAATATAAAAGAATAAAATATTTTTGCATTGAAAAGTCTACAGATCTAGATTTTTTTTTAAATAAAATCAAATATTGATATTGGAAATTTGCGTGTTTTGTCTTCAATTCCAGTTTTCACTAGTAAAATCAAGCACTTGTGCGGCGTGCAATACAATCATAAATTTTTTTTCTACCTGCATGCGTGCGGCGTTCTTGGTGGCCTGTTAAGGATAAAAAGATACCCTAGTTTTTGCTGTAAACAAAAGTTGGTCCAAACTGCCTCCAGGGAGATTTCTGGCAAACAACAAAGACACAGGCGCATAAATTTGCTTTTATTTAGAGAACTTTTGAGGCATAAAAATTAAAATATATTTCATAATAGTGTGGCTTCCCATATTAGGTTTCAATATTTTATAGGATTTGAGAAGGCAGAAGATTTGATTTTTGGTTTAATTTTGAAGACATGTATCAAGGAAGTTTAAAAGAAAACTTAAAATGTTGATGACATAGCCACGTCATGCACTGTCTGTTCAGGTTAAGTCTTTTAATCTGCATGTTAAAATAATATTATATGCAAAGAAGATGCTTGATGCTTGACGTCAATTCTGATTAATGGTAGACAACTTGACACTAGAGCTCTTTAACAACAATTTATTTCTAATGAGAACAAAATGAATGCGCAGAGAGGAGAAACTATCAAAATATTATTTTCAAGTTCAAGACCGCTTTGAATATATTTCTGTAACCGCTATCATAGAAGTCTGCGGTGTAATATGACTTTTAGGGCGTGCGGGTTTTCCCAATTTGATCGGATAAGTCATAACCAAAAACGAAGTGTAAGGAAGTTGACGCGTTCGTTATTATCTCTTGAAGTTACAGCTTTGTATACATAATATATAATATACTCTCGCCTTTGATTGTGAGTTTTAAGACAAGGTCGACAACTTTATTAAATAACTTTTTCATTTATCGTTACTGATTTAATATAAATATATAATACTTTTAGCAGAAGCTTTCATATTTATTAAATATTCAAAATATGCAAAAAATTAAAAATTAATTAATAATTTTTATTTTTTCAAATTTATCGTAATTATGGAAAATTTATTACATTTAATGTTTGTATTTTTAATAAGAAAACTTCTTTCAATTCAATCTAATTTTTTAAGTAGAAAATTAATTCTGTTAATAAAAAAAAAAAAATGCTTTTTATCTCCATGAGTAGTGCAACAGCCAGTAAATCATCTCAGTATGCAATCAATTTGATCTGTGCGATATATAATAACGGAGGGTTGATTTTAAGCGCCTCTGGCGGCGCCAGAAGGAACTCGGCGGCGGGGATAAATTTTGCCGCGCGGTCGCCGTGGGCTGCGAGTAGGGCGATTGGCCGGGGCTGCTGGAGGAGGGCTGCCGTTGGCCGCTGCGAGAGCAACACGCTCGAACACGTGTCTGTCTGTCTTGTCGAAGCAGCTGCCGGGACGGGATGACAGAGGGCCGCAATTCGGCAGCAGACGGCCGCAGAGCCTCCTGGGAGTTGGAGCTGGACAGCATGGACAAACGCACCCGCTTCCAGGTCAACCGGGTCGACACGACCAACGCCGACGAGGGCGAAATGCAGAAGTTGACGTCCAACCCCGACCAGGACGACCAACCGGACGCGGCCGGTGAGTGCAAAAAACGCCAAAATCGGGCTCAAATCCGCGAATTTGAAAATGAGGAGAGTAAAAGCGGCAGCGCCGCGTTTTGGCGCGCTCTCGGCAGGGAGGAATTTATTTATCCCCGAGGGAGGGGGAGGCTTTCCCCATACTGTGCTGCTGTGCTTTAGTGAGAGGAATAATAAAAAAGAAACGCATTCCGATCCAATGCATCTTTCTTTCTTTCCTTCAGAAAGTTGCTGCGCCAGAATTTCGCCCCCGGCGCCGGCTTAAATTGCATCGGAATTTTGGCGCCGGGAATATTTAAATGCCCACATTTAAAATTATTTTCATTTTTTCAGGCAATTAAATTTAAATGAAGATTCGGGCTTTTCCTCGTTGCAAAAAATGGTTTTTTATTCAAAAACAAACGGCTCTACCAGTTTGTTACCCCGTAAATTTTATCAACAAAGCACACAATAAAGCAAAAAATCCTCCAACACCCAAAGCCCCCGAACAATTTTCAACCACAATGGTCATTCCTTATTTTAAAGGAAAATCAGAGAAAATCAGGGCCATCAGCCAAGAAGTTGCCAGAGTGCGAGTTGCTTTCTCAAACTCTTCAAATCTGCGAAAATGTTTAATGCATGTAAAACCCAAATGTGAACCTGCTCTGCGTAATTGTGTATACCGCGTGCCATGCGCCGATTGCTCTTCAGTTTACATTGGGGAGACAAAAAGACACGTTTATTTCCGATTTGACGAGCATAAAAGGGCAATTTCAAAAACTTTTGATCCGGCTTCAATTGGGACGGACAGCAATGGTTTTCAAATAGCTCAACACGCGACTGAATTTGGCCACTCTTTTGCATGGTCAGATGCAACGGTTATTAAATTCGAACAAAATCAATCAAAAAGAAAAGTGCTGGAAGCAATGGCAATGGCATGCGGTAATAATGTAATAAGCCAACCGAGCCACCAATTCGATCAAAGGTGGATGTCCTTTTTGAGAGAGGAAGCAAACAGCTTTTTCTCGAAAACGCATAATGTGCCCGACGTCATTCGGCGCCCCCGTGGTCGGCCGCGCCGCGCGCTAAACACCCAATAAAGATCACCTCCCCCAATCAATCTGTCTTTAGCTAGCTCATTCTTGTATTAGTCAGCGAGCAGCGCGTTTGCTCATGAAATAGGTTGGTACTTGAATTTGTTAGTTTTAAGATTTTTATTTTTATGTTAAAATGTGGTTTTTTAAATTTTGCTGATTTTTTGTATTTTTTCTTGCTCATGAAATAGGGTCGCAGACCGTGACCGAAACTGGTAGAGCCGTTTGTTTTTGAATAAAAAACCATTTTTTGCAACGAGGAAAAGCCCGAATCTTCATTTCCATGATCATCTCCTCGAGTGTCAACTTCTTCAAACAAATTAAATTTAAATTGATATTATGTGATGTCCTTGATGTTTTAAATTATATTTTCAATTTTTGTCAATTTATTATTATTTTTTCATTTTTTTAATCGCAAAAATTTTTCTTTTCTTATTATACGAATAAAATGAATTTTCCATTGCATCTCTAAACAACTAAAAAAAAGCAATTTTTTTTTTATTAAATATTTTCATTGAACTTCAATTTAATTATTTTATAGATTTTCTACTTTTTTGTGTTTGTTCTGCATTATCCTTTCTACGGCTTCGTTAAAAGTCCAACACTGGATCGTGAGTCGTTTTCCACTTGTTTGTAGTTTTCATTTTCCGTAGCTGACAACGAGAGCAAATTTATTTCCCCTGAATCACCATTCCCAGAAGTAGGGTGGAATTTTATCTCAAAAACTTAACTGCCTCATTTTTTCTATTCTTTATTTTTATTACCCGCGTCGTCTTCTGCGCTAAACCCTTGAGTTGAAATAAACTCCTTATTTTTACGCAATTCAGAAATATTATTATTACTAAATTTTGATTTGCAAGTGAAATGTATGCGAGTCGCGGATGCAACGTGCGGGAGTCGATGGGGCCCGACAGGGAGATAAATGCGCGCAAATCAATAATATCAGACACGCCAGTGGAAAGAGCAATGCGCCGGCCGGCGGAAGATAAAAGGCCGATTTCCATTGTCACTTACGTTTTTAAATGCCCACGAAATTGACCTTTCCGCGCGGTCCGTGGTTTCATGTATTATTCAAAGCAGCGCGACACCACGCTTTAGCCACGTTTTTGTCTCGTCGCGGTCGCGGCAAAAACCAAACTTTTTATATAAAAAGCCTCTTTTTCCTCCTCTCTGCTCCAACCAAAACACTCATAATCTGCGTAAACATGTGTGGTATTTATAATATTTTGGTTCAATCCTTCCCGACCACAAACCTTGCAATAAAGGAAGTAGTTTTTTCAAGTAGTTTTGTACTAAATTTGAATAAAGTTCAGTTAAATATTGATGTTTTTAATTTTGGAAATGAAGAAAATTCGGGCTTGTCCTTGTTGTAAAAATTGTTTTTATTCAAAAACAAAACTACCAGTTTTTAATTTTGTTTTAAATTGAATTGTCTTTCGAGAGTTAAGTTTTCAATGCTGTTTCAAAACTTTTATTTGCATAATAAATTCCCTCCAATTTTTTTCTGAAATTTATGCACGATCGTTGATTTGCTTATTTATTATTTTTTAATTTTTACCGACTCCACGTAATATCATCTATTTCTCCCAAGCGAAATTAATTTTTTGTATGCAATTTTGGCAGACATGTCGACTGGGTACGACACAAAGTACGCCAAGAGTTTCCGCCACTTCACCAGGGAGGCTCTGCCCCGCCTGGACAACTACCGCAACATCATGTCCATCCAGGCAGCCTATCGACCGACCCTCGACGAACTCCACAACGCCACAGTCCACGGAAAGGTAAGACCCTTGCCCCCGACCCTTTGCGATTTATTATTTTTCTCCGTGCATTCGTGACCGGGCGGCGTCTAGACTTTGATTCCGTCGTCATTAGAGAGAGTGATTGGTTTACGATTCGGTCAAAGCTGCCTGCGGCCGGAATGCGTGGAATAAAAAAAAAAAAAATTAAGAGTGCCGCTGAATTTTTCTTCCATCTCTGACCTGCGTGTTGATAGTCTGAGCGGCGGCGCAAGAAGTGTCTGTGACCAAAGCCAAGGCCGACCGGTGCCGTTTGCCGCCAGAAAAAAAGAATGAAAATAACACAAAAAGTGAACTTGATACGACGGCTATCAGCCTCTGGCTCCGAGCTTGCTGCCTGCATAATTTCATTCCGGTGCATCTGATGCTCCCAGACCACTACAGTGAGCGAGCAACAGAGGATTCGTTCGACCACATATAGATTTTTCGGTTGCGGCAAACAAAGGATTAAAATCCTATAGAATTCGATTAAACGAGAGCTTTTTCATGTAAAATTATCTTAAATAGAGTGATTTATCTTGAAATTTATATTGCAATTTCAAATTCTCAAGACACTTTTAAATAAAATAATAATATATTAGAGTTATTAAAACTGCTTACTACTTCCATCAGGAAGCAAGTTAATAATAAGTGAACATTTCATTAATGTTTCTAAAAATTCAATTCAAGTTAATAAATAAAAAAATTAAGCTTTTTACCTCCTCATCCAATTAAATTTTAAAGCTCGTTTGATTGAAGAATCTTATTTATTTCATTTCAGCATCTTCTTTCAATTTGATTTATGAAGGCAATCTGCCTTACATTAATTTAATCCTTACCACTTATTATAAACAGTTTCATTGCCCAGCATTTATTTATTTCAGGTGAGCACTGACTTCTTTTAATGTGAATTCCAGACAATGATGCAAGCTTCATTAATTAAAAACATAAAAGCGCACCTGAGATAAATAATGCAGACTATAATTCAAACGCCCCTTTTTAAACTTGTAAATTAAAATTGCTGAGAACGAATCTTGACAGAAATCCATGCCTATAAATTTACAACTTTCCTCCCATGCAACCCGGTAAAATTTACATTTTCGCCTGAGCGTTCCGAGAAACCCTCCTCACTATTCTAGTGCGAGATGTTTGCACATTTCATCGTCCGAGTCAGCATCCAGGACAAAAGTAGCCAATTAGTTGAGTGATTTCCAAGAAGAAGCTCTCGCATGAAAGCGTTTTTGTTTGTTTGCTGAGCAAATTAGCGCACAGGTTGATTGAGGCGAAAAGAATTTATGGGTGTGCACTAATGGTTGTTTGGCTAATGAGATGCATATACGTGTGGGTCTGTGATTGACGTCGTCTGACAAAATCAAAGCTCGCTCGTGTTCTGTTCGGGTCACGCGCGAAACGCGAGTCTTCGACAATGCATGCTGACCGGAAACATTAAAAGACCCGGTGTATTTGTCACTTTTGACAACTTCCGAGCCAGCACAAACTGCACGTCACTGGATAATTTTATCTTGGGGAGCGAATTTCCGTACTGTGTTGTTGAAACCAGATTTATAAAGGATGAAGACAATCACTAAAATTTATAATGAAAAATGATTTTCATTTCTTTTAACGTTAATTTGAAATTAATTAATATCAATTGTATCAATTTGTGACAATTTGTGAAGGTTTAATTAAAAAAAACTCAAATACAAAAGCAGTTTGTTTTATGTAAATAATGTTTTCTGATTAATTACTTCAAATAAAATCAACCTGCTTTATACATTTTTCATTTATTTTCCAGTTCAATTATTTTCAGGAAAGTCAAACAAAACAATCAACTGTCATTTTTTCGTATACCAATATTAAATTGGTTAAATTGATTTAAAATACAATTTAATTTATAATTGATAATTTTGTTTTTAAGCTCATTGATGTTTCTAAATAATCGTACCTTTTAAATTATTATGGTTAATTGTTCTTGATGTAACTGAACAAAAATTAATATTAAAACTACAACACGTCCATCGAAAGCAAGCAGTATTCATTTTTTTCTAGCTTTGAATAAATCCTGGCAGTGAAATCAGAAAGTGGATCACGCCGGCCTTCCCGTTGATTTTCAATCACCGCTGCAAACACATGAAAATTCTGTGTTTGATTTCCGCAAGAGCATATTACTGTTATCGATGTAAATTGTAAGGGTTCGGCAATAAAAAGATCGCTCTTCAAGGCTTTCCCGCCGGGAATTATGTGTGAAAATCCACCGCTTCAAAGCCGTTCCGCAGACGAACCCGTGTTTGAAGTGTCGCGGGTGAAAAACGCGCCGCCAGATTTCGCGCAGTTTCTTTTCGAGCTCTCGTCGATTCCGATCACGAGCCGCAGTGATTTCCACACATGCAATTGGCCACTGATTGCCAGCACTAGGACAGGTCTTAATTGGCGCATAAAGGAATCCATTAACCGCCACTTACACAGCAAGAAGTCAATTGACTTCTCACTTGACAGTCGGCGGTATAAAATTAGAAATTTGCAAAACGGAAGTTGCATGGCTAACTAAGTTGGCTTGCGAAATCAACGGTAATCCGCTCGGAATGCGAACGACCTTAAAGAAAAATTAATTGTCTGAAATAATCGTAGCGCAGCATCAAATCCATGATGAGATCCCTTTCGAAAAAAAGTTGCAAACTTGAGATATTTTGTCATTATTTAAAAAAACATAGCAAGGTTAAAAACGAGCATATAATTTTGCTTCGGTTTGGGTCTGAAGAATTGTGAAAATTAAACTATTCCTGCTATTATAACTATTAATGCGATTTATTTTTTAAATTTCTTCTTGAACTTTGGAATTGCTGTCAAGAGTTATCCCAGTATAATTATGCAGTATTTTTTTGAGGAATTTTTAGGTTATTAATCTATTTACTATAGTGTAATTTAAAATTTTTGAATTCGAAGTCGGAGGAAAAAAGTTTTATTGATGGTGAAATAAGAAAAGAAAAAATGTCAAAGGGCAAACGACTAACACCTTGATAAATTTGAATCCGGTATCCGGTCGAGGTGCGGTGACTTTTTGCCAACTGCAGCTCACAATCTTTTTTCGCTTAATCGTTACGTCACCGCTCTCATCCGGTGATAATCCTTCTCAGTTTACAAACATGGAAGGGAATATTGTGAGTCGACACCCAGCTGTATATTATGGACCCTTTTTTTTATAAATTCATCCACTTTTAGGAATGATATCAAATTAGGTCGACGAATTTATTGCCAAGGCGCTGTGTGTTTGCATAATAGAGAATGAAGTTGCGCGAGTGATGGCACAAAATGTGTCAGTGTAAACAGAAAAAAATAAACAGCTGGCACATAAATTTATCATGAATGACGCAAGAAAGACGGCAGTGCAGCGTAAAGTAGCGTGAAAAACGCTTAAATTTACCCCAATACTTATTTTCTGGGCAAGATTTATCCCTGGTGATTTAAGCAGATAAATTATTTTATACATTAAAATGAACAAACTCGTTTTGGATTCCTTATGGATTTGACAATTAATTTTGCATACTGACTATTAAATTAACATTTAATTTTCTTATGGAAATTTAATGAAAAAATGTTTAAAAGTCAAAATTTTTTAAATGATATTTGGAAAAAAAAATAATTAATGATAAGCCTGCTTTAAAATTAAACTTTTGCGGCATAATGGAATAATGATATAGTAAATAAAATTCAAGGCAGTATTATACATTTTATTTATGTTTCAAGATTTTCACACTCACATTGAGCAAAGCTTGAGCAACAGACATTGAAGCAGCCTCTGCACAAAAACATCGCGTCGGCAAAATTACCCGAGAAGGTGTTACTCCTTTTTTGTCAAGCTTGTATAAAATAATTTCCATGCAGCCAAGCATTCATTCAGCACTAAAAGTTTCGCAGCGTCAAATGGGCGGTTGCGCCGCTTTTTTGGATGCTTAAACAAACGACAGCCACGCTGTAATTACATCTCCTTCTAAAAGTCTCCTTCCTTCTTATAACCATGAAAAAAATAATTAAAGTGCAAATTGTTGCAAAAACTGAGGCTTCAAGGGGGAGAAAACGGCTATATCATTGTTTGATAAGTAAGCTGTTGTACAAAAAAAGTCGCTGACAGTGTAATTAAATTCAATTGGAGAATTTTTTACATCAGGTGCAAAATTATCGCTGAATCGTTGATTATTTTCAGTGAGGAAAAATAATAAAATATTTACTAGAATTTCATATACAGTGTTAAAAAATAAGGACAATTTTATCGAGCTTTAATTTATTTTTCCACATTTTCTCCACATTTCATTAAATTTATACGCAGAAAATTTCACTTTTACTTTAATTTAATGTTGAAAATAATTATAAAAAAATTAATTTTTAGGCATTAGGGCATAAAATGAATGGAAGAGGCAAGTATAGAAATGAATTGAATTATGTACTATCAAATTTCTCATAAATAAATTTTTAGACCTCGTAGAAAAATGTGACTTAAATTCTCCATTTAATTTAAATGATAATTTTCCTCATTCATTATTTAAAATTTAATTTACTCTTCGGCTGTCAGCTGCGTTTGCTGCAGTATAATATGCCGAGAAAAGTTTTGAGGAAAGTTGGCACCCAGCACTCAGTTAAATTGCGGTAACTGCAGTCATCGTAAAAGACTGCGGGTGGCGCAAACCTGGTGAAGTTCTTTGAGAATTTCGCCAAAGTGGCGCCGCCGATAATTACATGACAAACGGCGTGGCATTGCCGCAGGTCAAGTGAAATTAAGTAAGAAAGACTTTCGGCGATGAACACTCCGTCAGTGTCAGGTGCAAGGCGAGTCATTCACCTTTCTCGGCTGCGCAGCTGCCTCTCTTCTACGCCCCATGCTTGATGATAAAAAATGATCTGCCTCTTGCGAATATTTCTCCCCACGTCTGCTGATTGTTATTCCAAGCAAATCGGTTGCCAGTTCCTCCAATCGATCGACTCCTTTCTGTTTTTTGCTATAAAATTCA